AAACCCCAAAACCCTGAACCCTACAAGGCGCAAGCCAGAAGGGCAACAACTTCCACTTTAGGTCGCAGAGGTTGGTATCTGGGGGCTGAGGCCTTGCCCAGCGGCCTAAACCTAAACCCTAAACCCTNNTGGCTCACTTTTAGCCGTGTCCGAATGTAGGTCGGGTGTTTGGGGGGTTGTTCAACTGTATTCTGATGCTGATGATGCTAATAATGCCAAGATGCTCGGCTCAAATGACTTTGGAAAAAAATAAGCCACAAAACCGTTTCCGGTTTAAGCCACAAAACCAAACTAAACACAAATCCATTTCCGGTTTCTGAATATCAAGGAATCATGTTTCCATGCTGTGGTAACTCGCCACCAACCAGACATCGCACTGTTTTTTTCAGCCTAGAAGAACCTTAATGATTTGGAGTTTTGTAGATTGGATTACGTGTGTCGAGTGTGTGGAAGCTATATACTTTTCAGCATCAATCTGATTTTTCGGAAAGCGCAATGCCCGCGGTTGATGAGAAAGTGTTCAGTAATGGAAGCAGATAACATCAAAGCAGAAATATCAAATATTATTGTTGCTGCTTGCAGAAGCGAACTTTGTCAAGTTGATGACTATGAGGCCTCTTCATGCTCAGGTGTTAGAACATATCGACTAGTCTAGTTTGGTTTCAAGTACGGGCGACGGGGGCTGGGAGATTGATACGTTCCCGGCTGCACTCGCAGGGTTCAAGGCTTGGGCTTCCGGATTCCATATCAATTAGGGTGTTAGGGTTTCTTCAGGGCTTAGGAACGGTTTATATATGGTTTGATAGGGTTTGGGGTTCAGTTGAAGAAGGAGAGGTTGCCCGGTTGCCCAGTAGAGCAAAGTTTTTCTTACTATTATATTTTAATAAGAACACCCAAAATAAATAGGGCAACAATGTACTACTGGCCAGTAAGTAGACTACTTAGCTAGAGTCGGTTTGCGGCATGCCCCTTCGCCGCTGAAAAACCCAAAACCCTAAACCCCAAAAGCCTAGGTCTTGGTAGGAGTAGGAGTAGGTAGGTGAAGGTAGTTGTGAGCGGCATGACCCTTCGCCGCGGTGCCCTCATTCCCCCCTAAACCCTAAACCCTATATTACCCTAAACGAGAGCCCGGAGCTGCAGCGGCTTCCAAACGCCAGGACCTCGGCGGCTTTGGGTTTAGGGTTTAAGGGTTTAGGGTCTAGGGTTTAGCGATCAGGGGCGCCGTAGGGAGCATGCTTTTCTGCGTAGCCTAGCGCAAAGGGAATGCATCTGTCGATTCTATCGACCCTAAACTCTAAACCCTAAACCTCATCGAAATGCGCCTACTGCTACTGCGGTTGGGCCGGGGCTGGGTTCTGGGTTTAGGGCTCATGTAGAGGTGCGGTCGGCTTTTTCGAATTTCGGGGCCTGCGGTTTAGAGTTTAGGCCAGTGTAGGCTTTGGTTACAGGATTGCGGGCTCTAGTCTGGGTTTAAGGTTGTGAGGTTGCCAGTTTGTCGCCAGAGTTCGGGAGGGCCTGGGCTTAGGCTTGAGATTATGGTCGTCCTGAAGGTCATGGTACTTACTTACAAACCCTAAGCCCTAAACCCATAAACCCTGAACCCTAAAACCCTAAACCCGAAGCCCTAACCTCTAACCCTGACCCCGAAGCAGGTGCTTGTAGCCCTACTTCTCACCACTGAGACACTACGACTACTACTGCTGGTGCCGCTGCCGCTGCTGCTGCTACTACTACTACTTCTACTTCTTGTACTACTTACTACTACTACTACTACTACTACTACTCCTGCTGCTACTACTACTACTACTAAGTACTACTACTGCTGC